GGGTGGGAGTTGCATTCATTATTTGGCTCCCATACAGGGTACCTACTGTTTACCTCCAAGGTTTTCTATGAGACCTGTTCAAGGACAGTTCACTAATACTGTTTTTAAAGTTTTACAAAATACTGTCATGAATTAGGTTAAACCATATGAAATTGCTGGTATTTGACTAGTTGTAATTTCTCAAACAACAGTTTAATTTAGTTTAGCCTGTACATTGTTTCAGTTAATTCTTGGAATAGACATGAAGTAGGTGAGGCAGTTCTCTTATTTTACTAACCTAAGGAGTATTCTATAGATGTTAAATGGTTTCCAGCTGTTAGGTAGTAAATAGAGCTAGAACTTGAGCCCTAATCTTCCAGCTCCAATCCAGTATCACATGGTACCTTTCTCATTAAACTAGACAGCTGGGGAGATATTTTTCCTTCATACACATACATACTCAATCTCCCTCCTCCAACAAATCAGTTCCCCTCTATCACTGATGTTGGTTTTGCATTTTTGCATTGGCATGTTTGACATTTGCCGTCTAATTTTGGGTGTCTCATTCTTTTTCGGTCTGAATTTTTATTTCTGGCTTTAAAGGAAATAATTTCTGAAAACATAAATACGTGGGTTTGCAATTTATAAAATAGCTTTTTAAATTTATTTTCTTAGAATATTGATAAATTTTGCAATGATGCCGAAAACAAGCTTATGCATATGCTTAATGCAAATAATCCCAAGTCGTCCACCCCAACTAAAGACTATACTTCAGAACCATACACTGCTCAAACAGTCCTTGGTACAGGAAATAAGTTTCTGGTAAGTTACTGTATAGTTAAGGAATATTACAAGTATTATATATGGAGGCAACAGTATATTCTGGTGTATACCTAATAAACATGGTAAAATGTAATTAAACTTATTTAAAAAGTGTGATAGTTATGTGGCTCCTATAGGTATAGATTATTTGGAATTTTAATCTTGTTTATTGAAGCAAGAATGTAAAACTCTTCGGGGGAAAATTTCACAAACAGGTGCTTTTGTTTTTAGCCTCCCAAATCCGTGTGATTCAAAAGCCTTTTTTGCCTTTTTCTTTTTGCTTGAAGAGCTGTTCCATACAATTAGGGTTGTTTCTAAGCTCAGTTTTAACTCATTAAATCATAGTTGATGCAAATTAAGCTAAAGTCTTTAATATTGGCTAGTGGCTGATTCTTAAATAACTAACAAACACTTCTAAGTGTATCCATATTAACTCATTAAATCCTCATAACAACCCTAAGAGATAAAAGCTTCACTTAACATCATCATTAGGTTCTTGGAAACCAACTTAAAGTGAAACGACATAAAACGGAACATTTTTTTCATCAGTGTTGCAAGATGACGTAGAAGGAAATGACATTTTTCAAGGACCTCCTGTATATCATTTCACTTAAAGTTGCAGTTTCCAAGAACTTATTGACAACATTTAGTAAGGACTTACTGTATTGTCCCTGTTTTACAGATGGTAAGACTATGGTACAGAGAGAGGTTAAGTTATTACCTGAGGTAACAAAGCTAGAAACGTAGCTATTAGAACCCAGAAGTGTGTGTTCTTAAAATGGCTTTAAAGCGCTTATCTTTGTTTAACCTATTAATAATTTAAAAGAAAAGATTAAAGCATAAGTGACATCCCTACCTCCTTTTTTTATCTTTCACTATGATTACTCTTCCTTTTTTGTCATTTTTATATACTCCTATGCAAAATTATTTCCTTCTGGAATAGGGATAATATGAATATCTCTTGAAATTATCTTACCTATTACCAGTTAGGGGAGCAAACACATATGTGGTATTTGTGTGCTTAAATATTTTTAATGAAAAGTTAATTTGATTTTGTTTTATATGTTAGTACATGATTATGATAGGCTTTTAATTTTTTATTAGATGCCTTCTCCTAATGGTGAGATAAATTATCAAAGTCCTTTATCACTTTGTACGCCAAAAGGGAAGCCTGTTTCCACACCTGTATCAGCCCAAATGACTTCTAAGTCTTGTTGTAAAGGGGAGAAAGAGATTGAAGACCCAAAAAGCTGCAAAAAGAGAAGAGCCTTGGATTTCTTGAGTACACTGCCTTTACCTCCACCTGTTAGTCCCATTTGTACATTTGTTTCTCCAGCTGCACAGAAGGCATTTCAGCCACCACGAAGTTGTGGCACAAAATATGAAACACCTATGAAGAGAAAAGAATTGAATTCTCCTCAGAGGACTCCACCTAAAAAATTCAGTGAAATCTCTCTTTTGGAAAGTAATTCAGTAGCTGATGAAGAACTTGCATTGATAAATACCCAAGCCCTTTTGTGTGGTTCAGCAGGAGAAAACCAATGTATATCTATCAGTGAATCCACTAGGACTGTTCCCACCAATTCAAAAGATTATCTCAGTCTGAAAAGGCATTGTACTACATCTCTGATCAAAGAACAAGAGAATTCCCAAGCAAGTACAAAAGATTGTGAGACTAATATGCAGGACACAAGTATAATAAAACATATATCTAAGAAATTGCAAAGGCGACAAAAACGAAAATGACAATAAATTAGTTATTGACTCTTAACCTTTCCAGTTTATAAGATATATACAGTTTCAAACTACACATCAGTATTTACGTTGCATAACCAGAAAAGAAACTAAATAATTTCAGGTGTAGCTAGGTGTTTGTATATCATAGGGATTGTCTTTGACTCTATATTGACATACTTTTATTTCAGTTGTAGATCTTAAAACTGTACATTTATTAGCTAATCAAGGAAAAAAAATCTCCTTTAAATCTTTGTGATTGGATTTCATCACAAGTATTATTTTACAAACGAAATAAACATACTCTTTTCTTTTAGATTGTGTCATTGATTAAGTGAAATGAGGTTTCTTAGTACAGTTATTTTGACATAAATAATTCCTTTTAGTTCCTATTTTAGGGGATTATTTTTTTAGAAGTAACTCACTACGAAACAGTTTTCCTTAATGCCTGTGTTGGTTCTGCTGTAGTTCTATCTGTTCAAAAGTCAGGATGAATAAGATATTACAGTGGTGTTTTCTTTTCACCGATTCTTCATTCTTAAATCAGAATGTCTACAAGAAAAATAGAACCTTTAACTCCTTTTTACGATTCCAGTGTGATCTCTGAAATTAAATTACTTCAGTTAAAAATTCAAATACTTTAAATCAGAAGCATATTTCATAGAGCTAATTTTTTTTTTTAACAAAATGGTCATCTAGAATGAAACTTCTGAGACCATGCTTTCAAATTGGCACTGATTCTGCCTGCTTTATTTTTAGTAGTATCACAGGACCCAGACATACTCCCTTTTAAACCTACCACCAAGCAGATTAGTTCAATTTAAGATAATGCTTTCATTATCTTAAATAATGGTATCTGAAATAAGCTCTTATGCTTTCTTATGTTTAATAGACAAAAGGGATACAGTAGTTCTAACTAGGAGCTAATAGCATGGAGAAGGTCTTAAAGCAGGTGTTTTCATGTGTCTTAAATTTATAATATCACATTCTCAAATCAAATTATAAACACATTTCAAAGCCAAAAATAAATCCTTTTAAAAATTGACATTTTTCCTTCCATAACTGTGATCTATGATTTTTCTCTCCTCTAAAAAGCATTAACATAATAGTCTATTCTGCTATTCTTTTTAACTTAATTGCAAGTCTTATTAATGTGATTTAAGTTTTATTCGTAAACAATTGGGTCTTCCCATACTAATCATTTTCCCAATGATTCACTCTAGAAAAAGAAATAAAACTTGAGTCTCAGGTGAACAGAAAGAATTATTTATAAGAATTTAACCTTTTCTTTTTTGAATCCTTGGAAAAACTGCTAATTATCTCCTCCATTCTTATTCTCATTTAGACCACCCCTCATAGAGAGATCTAATGCACACACTCCTTTTTATAAATTATAAATAACATCCAAGCTACATGAACAAAGTATGAAGTTTGAGTATATGTATATATTATCCCAAGAAAGTGACTAATGATTACAAAGTCAACATGTATGATAAGAGATAAATGATAAAAGTTTATTTATTCAACATTTAATGAGAATCTATTGCGTATATAGAGCACTTGTCAGCTGTATGAATGATGCAAACAGTAAACACAAAACAATACAAGTCAACGTTGGGTGTTCAAAAAATTATATAAATCAGGAGCCATGGGAGTTGAAAGGAAAAATAGATCACTTCTATATGGGATAAATAAAGTTGGCAGCATTTAATCAATTTTTCTATTTCGAACCAGTATTTCAGGGGTCATCTAGGAAAAGAGACATAAACAGGCCAGAAAATTATTCTTCAGAGCTAAATAAAAGCTCTAGATCTATAACCCAGAGCCACTGCCCCACAGTGGTCACTCAGCCCAGGTGAACCAAAATCCCTAAGCAGACAACCAGCCAAATCAGGAGGGCTTGGATCTGGCCCTTTTGACTGCTCCTGTGGAATCAAGGTAATTCCCACTTTGGGCTCTGTGACACTTTTCCCCTTTACTAACCTCTATGAGTCAAGCCATCCGTATTGAGCTGGTTATGCAATAACCATTTTGACTGAAATACCCAGGATTACCTGGGCCTGGAAAATAGCATCATTAAGTGGATTATTATTATTAGAGGTTATTATGTGTTGTGCTTGGACAGAGAACTTAGCAAAACTATGATAGTTAGATTCATTCAGATTTACCATTTTTTATCAGCCAAACTTTGTTACTTAAAAGAGATACCAATTTTAAAAATGTTAATGAAGGGAAAATTACAGATACATTGCTGGTAGTCATCAAGATGTTGAGTAGATTTTAATGGTGTCAGATAATGGAATGTTAAAGTAAAATAGTCTTTCTAATTTACACATCAAATAACTTATATAAGCAAGTAAAATATAAGATTGCTTTTGTCTTTACCTTTATGCCTCCTAAAGAAGACTGACAAATAAGCTTATGATACAGAAAAACTGATTACTGTATAGTTGAATTCCTTGGGATTTAGGTAATTAAATTCTTATATTGTCAAACAAACAAAAAGAGATTCAGTGACAAATCCATATAAATGCAATACCATATACAATTTTTAATAGCCATAAAAGCACCATTATATAGGACACTTAAAATAATACTTCACAGAACATTAGAAAGAAGCTGTTGGCTAACAAGAAGAAATAGAGCATACATCCTACATGGTCTTATCTATCATGGTCTCACACCAAATTAATTCCAACCTGTTGGAATTTAATTGGGATTCATAAATTCAGTGTCAGTGTAAGAGGGACATTCTGGAGTTGTAGTAGAGCTCTATTGTCTTAAATAATGCCACAAAAAACATCAACTGCTCATTTTGTGATGAGCATGGCTTTTACATATCCCTGTATGACCTGTATCTGGGAGTGCTTAATTCCTTGCACTCCCAAACATTTAGCTGCCAACTAATTAAACACGTGTTTATAGACACAATTTTAAAAGTCGTTTAAGTATTCCTCTTACAAATTGGTGTTTTATGAAGGCAGGCTTGTTTTATTTACACAATTAGCACAACAGCCAAAATTTATTCAGGTTTAATCCTGTTGAATAAAGTGGCAGTTAAAACACAAAGTATGACTTTAAATAATGACACTGATTTTCCCCAGTAACTTGTAAAGCTATTAAGGACTTCACAAATATTTTTAACAGTAATACATCATTAAAATAAAGGAATGATTTCCCAATGTGTCTCCTTGGAAGGACAGTGTTCCCTTAGATGTACCCTTTCTAGCATATTAGTTTTAAAGGAAAATCAGTGTCATCATTAAGAGTCACCTCTTACATTTTTGGATACACAGATTATCAAAGTAGCAATGGCACTAAAACTTCCTGCCCTCCACTTCTCCTCCCCCACCGTTCCAACTTTCCTGATGGAGATGAATTTCCTGAAAAAATAGATTACTTCAGAGAAAGTGGTACTGAAGTTTATATATAATATAAACATTTGATTTCATTTATGAACCTATGTAATTGATTATGTTCTTGGGTATGTTCTCAGGTTTTAGTTTCAAATTAATTCTTTCTCTAGAGAAAGAGACTATTTAATCAAATCTGCAGAATTCCCAATATCAGACCATGCGTATAGGAGCACTTTAACAAAGGCTTGTTGAAGATAATGAATATAATGACTTCTCGGAAACTTTTGAGTTCAACTATGTATACCGCAATTAGAGCTCTGACTAAAACAGAACAAAGAATAAATACCAAAAATTGAAGTAAAAACTGACTTAGGAAAATTTTGAATGGCTGTAAGATAGGCCTCTAATATCCATGGTGATAACCACCCCTTCTGTTGAAGGAGCTCTCATTTGTGAAGCCGCCATGAGCCCTCCGGTTTGGAAACTCAGAATAGGTATTCCAGTATCCTGCATTGTTGGAAGGCAATGCATTATTCCTGTCCTGGTTCCTGTTCATTCTGCTAGGTTTTTCTGCATGAAGCACACTGTGAAAGGTAACATCATGTTCATACCGTTCTTTCATTCGAAGTATTTTTTCTCTTGGAACTCCATGAATGTTTCTTCTACATGGAAAAAAATGCAAATAGTTATTTAAGGCAGGATATCAAAATGAGTTACTTGCATTTTACAAGTCCTGTATTACTGCGTAAATACTGCAGTCCCTGTTCTCAAAAGTTAACTCTGGCAAAAGCATGTCTTGCTATGTGGTTCTCTTTCAGGCTCTGCTCCTCATGCTTCCCTGCACACCCCACACCACCCTGAGGCTAGCAAGGAGCTGAAGCTTCAGAAAGGCTTTGTTTCTGGTAACCTCAATTATGTGCTTCAAGACATAAAAGATAATCATACATTTGCCTGTTGATGACATGCATCTATCATCTATTTATGTCAATCAATCCTTGATGTGTACTTTTAAGAAATGCTTATTAAAATAATCTTAAATTCTAGTGAGCACAAGAATCAACTGGGAATATATTAATAGTTAGAAATGGAATTACCAAAGATTCCAGCTACAGAATGGGGTCCATGAACTAGGATTGTAACCACCACCTCAGGCGATTCTGATGGAAGTGGTCCATAGACCCACTTTGGAAACACTATCTGCTTATAAGTATAGGATGAACCAGCTTTACTCCTAACAAGTAAATTCTGATCTTACTGATTACATGAAGTTATTGACATTATCAAAGAACACAGAGAATATCAGAACCCATGCATTCAATCAATAAGTTAGTAGTATTATTGGACACTTAATGCTTTATAAATTAGAAGCAGCATCTAGACCATAAATAAACAGACTGCTCAACATCTAAAGATCTTTATTTAGCTTAAATGCAAAAATACCATTGACATGTGCAATCCCATGCAGAGGAAAGTGCTTTTAAATGTACATTAATGAAGAAGCATTTTAGCAGAATGTTAAATGCATCCTTTTAAAGGACCAAGTCCAAGCCAAGATTTAGCATATAGCATTATATTAGAAAACTGACCCAAAACTAAAGTCTTCACATTAATAATTCCAAAGTTATCAATTTCCAAGAATTACCATTTTTGGCCTGAAAACTACCATGTCCATTTCCAGCCTGAAAAGATTCTTTTGTTCGTTCTGAAATACCTGAAAATAGCAGGATACATAATGAGGAACTAGAAAAACAAAGAAGTACCTTGCTAACTCTTGAACGTTGAATTTCCAGCGAGTGTCAGGTTCTCGGAATATAACTTCATAGTTATTTTCAAGTGCCTGATTTTTCAAAAGTACATAAAACATTGAAGACATAGTATGTATGTTTGGGAATGTTTATGCTGCCATTTAACATTTACTACAAATCTTTTCTAAAATTTCCTTTGTTTTACCAGTAATCCAATGCCTTAATTTATCGTAATAAATTTAGTTGGTTCATTCCCATACTTAGCCATTCTCAGATGATGTTATGATTCCCAATGATAAATTTTGGTCAGTTTTATCTAGTATGTGGGCAAATTGTAAAGGTTCTTTGTTTTGGACATCTTTAAAAAGAGATGACTGAACTAGTTTAAAAAGTTCTGAACACAGGTGTGAACAACGAGCTCAGGGGCTTTTCAGAGGCACGTAATATGATTCTGATGATTTACTTCTATCAAATGCCTTGTCCCATTCCTGATGCCTTCCTTTAGAAGGTGAGAGTGCTACAGGAATGGAGCTCATGAAATAAAAGTGATTTCCACATACTTTACATAATCTTCCCTTCAGAAAGTAGCTGTCCCTGCTATGCAATACTATTTGGTTCAAGGGATGGTGCCCCATTTTCTTGAGTTTAGAAAACTATTACAATTCCATATAAACATCCAAATATTCTTTGCATTCATAAATTAACTACTACCTTATCTAAAAGTGAACTTTCTAATATCACATTGTTTACTGCGTTATAAAATACAATTTGGAAAGACCTAAGTAAAAAGATTTCCTCTCCATTCTTGAGATGGGCACTTCTAATTAGGGAAGGATTAAAATAGCATAACTGGGAGCCGGGTGAGGTGGCTCACGCCTATAATCCTAGCACTCTGGGAAGCTGAGGCAGGAGTATCGCTTGAGGTCAGGAGTTCAAGACCAGCCTGAGCAAGAGCAAGACCCCGTCTCTACTAAAAAAATAGGAA